GAAGAGGGACCAATAGAAAGCCTAGCACAACAGGCTAAATCCTACTCCAGTCTGTCCAACTGCACATACGTATATGAGACAGGCATGCTTGCAAGGAAGTGCTATCATGATGATTCATGTTACACAGGATGGGGCATGGCTGTCTGTAATAACAATAACAATACACATGGAGATAGCACATACTGTCTACCAGGCATATCCTATGCACTTTTATATGAACACAGATGTTAACCCTTGTTACATGTTTTGATTCTAGAAGGAGGTGCAGTAACTTACAAAGGTCATATGGAGTAGACATGGGATTTGAACCTCAGACAGTCTAGCTCTGATGCCTATCTTTTTACCCATTGCACCATACCGCCATTTATTAAGCTTAACCTTCATACATGAAGCAACTTTCCTGAAAAATAGCTGAGCTGGAGATAACACAACCAGCAGAGAACACTCAAAATCAAGGTCAAATCCTGGGCTAAAGAGAAACAGAAGATTTCAAGGGCCATGCAGCTCTTCTGATTGCCAGGCAGACGGGCAGTGGCATGGACAGGGAAGCGGGCCTGGAAGCAACACCTCTGCAGACACCATCTCTAAACTCAGAACCTAAAGGTGGTGCTTTCCATAAACACAAAAGCAGAGATGAACACAGCAAGCAGAAACACCGAAAATGATTCAGACTGAATCAGAACAGAGGTGATCACAAAACCACCTTGTTAACATGAGAAGATTTCTTAGCAGGAAAATAAAGACTGGTGTCTGAATCTGCTGAGCATACCTTAATACTGACTGTATATGTATGCATATATGTATAAGATGTAATTTTTTTTTTCTTTTTTGCCAGAGGATGCATACACTTGCTGGAGAGGGAGAAAGAAGGAAAGTGAGAAAGCACCTTCCCCACCTCCCCAACCCCCCATGACGGATGGCCATCTTGCAATCCTTTTTCCTGCATTTCTCCTTTTAAGATTTTGGGCATGCATGCACATGTCCCTGGTGTGTTTTTCAAGGTACAGGGTCTGGGACTTGAATTGCTAAGTTGGCCATGTGGGATCCTGTTGCCTTAACCACCACACCACTGGTTGGCCCCAGCTGTGTATTGAGTATGCATTATAAACTACAAATAGCATCTACTCCAAAGTATGGGCCTAATCTTTCCCAACCTCTCAGTTGCTCTCTCAAAGAATGAATGTGAGTATCTAGGTACATGTTTAGTGAACTGGATGTATTCATTTATCCATTTAATACATATTGAGTGGGTATCTACCACATGGCAGACACACATATGCAACCTTGTCTTCCAGCACCAAGGTCTGCCTGAGAGTCCTCTGTCAGACTGCTCTGGTGCCTATCCATGTATTCCTCTGTCCTTTGGCCTGGATGTGGTGCTTCCATGTCTCCATAGCTTGGCTTACTCCCTACATTGCAACCTCTATGTCTCCAAGTGGAATGATCGTGCGTGTGTACGTGTGTGTGTTTATAAATTGCCATAGGACATGTGTGCTCACTGGAGAAAGATGGAGAGACAAAGAGAGAGAGAGGAAGCAGCTCCCAAAGGGAATGTTTTACAAGACACCAGGGCCAGGACTCAACCCATGATCAGCCATGTGACATCTAACTCCCTTAACCACTAGGCTACATGGACAGCCCTGGTCTGATAATATTCATCACCTCCCACTACTCACTGTTTGGGTAAAGAGCTATTCCCCAGTTGCAGCTCCATGTGAGCTCACATCATACCTGAGCACCTAAGCGGTACTTCCCTCTGAACTGGAGCTCAGGAACTACCTGAGGAATGACTGCTGTAGTTATCTTGACACAACATCAGGTCTTTGCCTCTGGGGGAGGGGGGGTGGTGCACCATCTGTGGGGCGCTGCCTGAGCAGATACTGAGCAGTCTTTCTCTCAGACTTCCAGTACATAGAAGAGCATTCTGTTCCCAAGGGTTTTAGGTAAGGGCTGTGGACTTGTACTGGCTTTTTTCACCCTCATAACAATCTTATTTTATGGGGGTGTGGAGGGAAATAGGGTAGCTGAGGCTAACAGAATTTACCCAGCAAATATTATCAGATCTATTTCAGATGGGAGAAGTTCTCTGTTTTTATAAAAGTAATATGGCGCACATTCCCTATATCCTGTAACGCATCTAGTGAGCTCTGGGCAGCACCTCATATCAAACGCTTGAAGTTGTTTGTGGCAAATCACAGGAACAAGCACACCGAGAGCTAGATTCACGCAACAGGAGCCTCACTTCCCTTCCGCTTGGGCTCTGCTAGAAAACGTGTGTTAGTTTCTAAAGCTTTTTGGATTCGGGAATTGAAGCGAGGGACTGTGGACTGTGAGTGCAAAGCACTTAGGAGAGAATGTGGCACACAGTGGGTGCCATGGGGCCTGGCACACTGCAACCATCCGGCACATTTCCTTCCTTCCCTCCGGCCAGCCTCCTGCAGTTCCCCCGACTGCCTCTAAGAGGTGAGAACCCTCATCTCATCTCTGGCCCCAGAAGGTGATAGCAGCTGCAGGTTCCTGCTTACCAGTCCGTGTGGGCATCATCAATCACCAGCAGGATCCTGGGTCTTTGAACGACAGGTGTGGAGGGACCCGGAGGCTCCATTAGCCCTGAGGGGGCCTGCTGGGTCTGTTTCATGGCGCTGGAGAAGGAGCTAAAGAGGCTGGATCCTGGAGATGAGAAGGAGGCTGCCAGCGGCTGGGGGTGCCTCCTCTCCATGGCTGGGGAGGCAGGGGAGCTGGTGGAGCTATCTGGGCGCTGCAGGTCCGTCATGTAGCCGTTAGGCAGGTTGGCCACAAAGCTGCTATCAGAGAGA